CCCCATCTCTAAATAAAGTCTTAAGGGGGAAAAAAAAAAAACGTAGAAGTGCAAAAATAGACTTTTTAAATGTACCTAGTACACCTGCTTGTACTGAGTTAGAGTCAGAAGTGTGTGTTTGTGATCTTTTAAAAGGCTTTAAAACACTTCAAGCCAGTAAAAAAGAAATGCCTGTAAAGCGTGTGGCATTGCTCTGAGGGTTTTGGAGTTTCTGTTTTTTAGAGGCTGCTCTTTTTTGCACTTTACTGTCTGTCTCTGTTGATACATTTCTAAGGGTGTAGATACATTCATATTAATGTCAAGCAAGTTCGAAATCGATTTTGGCAAAGACTGCCTACAACTTGCTCTATCATTACATTGTTTCAGGGTGTGCAACTCTCTTCTCTCCAGAAACATACCGAAAGTGAAATTGTGGATGGTGGCAGACCAGATACAGTTAAATCACGTTCTAGATTCTCAGAACACTTACTGCATTCAAAGCATTAACTTAGCATCGTTTGCCTTAAAGCAATTTTTTTAAAAAATTTTATTCCTTTGAGAGAGAGAGAGAGAGCACAAGTAGGGAGAGGGGCAGAGGGAGAAGGAGAAGCAGGCTCCCTGCTGAGCTGGGAGCCCGACGTGGGGCTCGATCCCAGGACACAGGGATCATGACCTGAGCCGAAGGCAGACGCTTAACCGTCTGAGCCACCCAGGGACCTCATGCCTTAAAGCAATTTTTAAAATAACAGACCATTTACTCTTAGTCAGGGACTAAAGGGCAAATAAAAATTTTTTTGCAGTTTTAAAATCCAAGTACTTAGTTAAAAGACATTGCCCCTCCCCCCCCCCAAGTTTAGGAATGACCCCTGGCCTTATGAAGTTATATCTGAGTATTAGAAAGTACTCGGTGGAGTCGATTTTTGTTAATGAAATAAATGAGATTATTTCATGTGAGCAAACCATTGACTAGGAAACATATATAGTAAAATGTTTTCCATTAAAATATAGTTATTATTTTATAATCTAATAAAATAAAATTTCTTCAGCTATCTCATTAGGGATAGGTGAGAAAAACTGCACAAATCACAGGTGCTCAATATTAATATGTTTGCATTTTTGTGGAGAATTTGAAACAGCCAGGGCTCTTCCATTAGTGTGGTTATGTGAAGAGACAGAGAAGAATTTAGGTTGTTGCCAAGTCTCCAGGATACTTGAATCTGGGCTCCACCAAGAATGAGTGAGGAAGTTTGTATGGTACTTCTGTGGAAGGTTCCACTGATTGACAAAGAATATCATGGATCAAGGACACAGTTGTGTGGTTCTGTTGGTGGTGTACATATTTGTTTCTCCATTTATGGTCTGGAGGATTTTAAGTTAACTCCTTGAAAGAGCTTTTCTCTGAAAAGTGGGGTATCCTCACGTCGTGGATGGTTAACCCTGAAGGATACAGCAGGGACGTTTTTCCAAGGGAACTTTCAGGGTTGCAAAGTTAGAGTAGCTGGGAACTTCTGCACTTCTGATGGACTTGGAACTGTGTGCAAGAGGGAGGAACTCAGGCTTGTCAATAAAGATATACCAGAAGCCCAAACATGAAGAAATGTTTATACACGGAGTCAGCTTCAGGAGTGGATGCTCTAACTAAGAATAGACCTTATATCTGAAGGTCTCCGCAGAGCTACATTACAGATCATCTCTTAAAGACAAGAGAGGTGCACATGAAATGCCAGAGAAAAGAATAAACATTGACATGCCAGATGAGTGATTGTTTTCCTCCCACCAAAGGACCTTGGAGGATTGGAGCCCCAAAGTCATGGATATGAGGTTGAACCATATGAGGATTTCAGTGCCCTCCTACTCACAGAATTTAAATGGAAGCTATAGTTTGAGGAGATATATTTGTAAATTAAAACTCAAATATTCCCAAGAATCCCCTGCATGACTGCAAACTTGACCAAGATTTTAAATGAAATCCCGAGCCTCTTGTTGAACTGCAGCAAGAGCAGATGAAAAAGGCAAGAAAACAAAGAAACCAAGATTCTTTTTTTCTTTCTCTGTGCGTGTGTTTATGTGCGTATGTATGCATGTGTTCCCTTATTTGCTTGAATTGTTTGAAATTTAATTGTAAGACACCATGACATTTCACCCCAAATACTGCAGCAGATATCACCTAAGCACAAGGACCTTCTGCGTAACCGCAATGCAGTGACCACACTTGAGAAATTTCATGTTGATACGATACCTTGATTCAGATTTCCCCACGAGTCCCTGTATTATCTTTCAGAGAGTTTTCTGTGATTCAGGATTCAGTGATAGCTGCACATTGCATGCATTTGTCGGGTCTTTTAATCTCCTTTCATCTCCATCAGTTCTCACGGTCGGTCTCCTGTGATCATTCATGACATCAGCACTTCTAAAGTCTAGACCAGTTGTTTTGCAGGATATCCCTCCATTTGAATTTGTCTGATTGTTTTCTCACGTTTGAAATCCAGATTCTAAATAAATAAATCATAGATAGATAAAGATATAGGAGGGGAAGGAGAAGTGGGAGAGAGAAAGGGAATGAGAGAAAAGGAAAAAGATGCAAATGATTTGGTGAAAAATTGTTTATTCACACCAAAGAAGACACAGTCTAGCAGATTTCTCTTGAGACAGTATTGATAAGCAATGGTGTAGAGTGGTGGGTGAGGGGATACGGTGCTCATTGAGAGTTAAGAATTTCTGAAATATTGCAGTGAAAACATTTTGCTTCGAGGCAAGGGAATAAACCTTGAGAGTTTGGGTCGTGTGCCAAGTTAAATGTAAAACTCAGTGAAAACAAAAACAAACTAGTTCTTTTAGTTTATCCGTAAAATAACAAGGCAATTTATTTTTCTTAATACACGTAAGCCAGTTTCTTTGGTGCCTTTTAGCTCCAGCAGATTTGTTTCTTTAAAACCCTTCACTGGACTGAACAAAATCGAAGATGATCTTAACGAATTCATGAGACCGAACAGACACTATTCCAGATAGAGGAGAATTTAGTCTATTTTTAATAAACCTCTAAAACAGAGATTCATGAACCCCAGCCTAAAAAGAAGACTCCTATAAAATCTGTTCAGAAGTAAATCTTATTTTCAAGCTGTCAGAAAACAAGAACCAGACAAAATCATCAGGTATCAAAGGCGAAGAACAGCTGAAATGAGTTTTCTACTTTGCCATTGGGTCTCTGCTTCAAGTGCCTGCTTGGAGAAGCAGGCATCTCATCTCCTAGCCCCCAAATAAATAAAAAGGGGACGTGTAATTTTAGGAGCACTGCTAAGAAATCACAACGTTCAAGTGGTTTTTGCTATAATTTATAGGAGCCTTCCTATACTTATTCCTGACATTTTTTTGATTTACTTGGTAAGGGCAGAATTGTAGAAAAACAAACAGACCCTGAGTAGGAAAGGCACTTCATTTCCTGTTCGTGTCTAACATTGGCTCTGATCGCTGTCCTTGGAGTCCTGGTCACCAAACCCAGTGAATAATTATGCCCTGGATCAGGGAGGGGGCGGTCTTATTTGCCGTGGGTTTGTTTTCTGGGATTTTCTGTTAATACCTGGATGGGAAGCAGAAGTGGACTTTGTAGTTGGCTTCTCTAAGACTCAGTGGAAACAGTTGTTGAGAGCTCAAGTTCTGTGATGTTGATTATTAAGTGAACTGTTGTCTGTAAAGTCCATTCATTATGCTTTTATTTTTTTTCAAAAACTTTTATTATGACAAAACCAGGCATACTATATTGAATCGTATAACCAAACACCGTGTGTACCTGTTGCTTGACTTCTGCAATGATCAACTAACTTCTTGGGAAATTTGTTTCATTTTCATGCCTATCTATTCCCCTCCATCATTTTATTTTGAAGCAAATCTCAGGTATTATAACATTTAATCCATAAATATTTAAGTAGAGAATAGATACTCTTTTAAGCAGTCTTGCTTAAAATAAGAATGGTATATAGGTATTTAATGTATTCTGCAGGTTAATGCACAACTTAAGTACTTCCAGTCTCTGTTGAGAAGATATAGAAGAGCTAAATCCAGTCAAACTGGCAATTTGACATGAGCATAGTAGTCATCTGGAATGGTCATTGATTCTCTGTAGGACAGCAGCTGTAGGTCCAATAAAAAAGTGATGTCACCAAAGAATTTCTGTCTTGAAGAAAGAAACATTGTTAAGAGTGATGAATTCTCTTTGTTCTTTGGACCACCTCTGGTGATAGCATAGTCTAACTCTGACCCTCCAGAAACATAACCATGGACAAGTCAGTCACTTACCCATCTCTGAAATTAAACTTCCCCATTTAAAACATGGGTATGATGCCTGCTGTACCGATAATTTGTGATCTGAGATGTGAACCTGCTTTAAAAATAATGGCGGGGCGCCTGGGTGGCTCAGACGTTAAGCGTCTGCCTCCGGCTCAGGTCATGATCCCAGGGTCCTGGGATTGAGCCCCGCGTTGGGCTCCCTGCTCAGCGGGAAGCTTGCTTCTCCCTCTCCCGCTCCCCCTGCTTGTGTTCCCTCTCTTGCTGTGTCTCTCTCTCTGTCAAATAAATAAATAAAATCTTAAAAAAAAAAATGGCCTGTATATTGCTAATATAGAAACTACTAGAACATTGTATGTTAACTATACTGGAATTAAAACCAATAATAATAATGACGATGGCCTGGTTGCACATTCTCCTTTAGCATAGGTTTTTTGTGGTTTTGAAATGGCCAATATCCAGGATTTTTAATGGCATCAGAAAATGTAAAGATTGAGGAAGTAACCATCTAGAATATTTTATAATCTAGGTTCTCCCACCCCTCCCCCCACTCCCCCAAGTATATTTCATTTGGGCATTTTATCTCCAAGGTGAGATCCATTTTGGCTGACTCATTTTCTCTCTCTTTCTCTTAGATAGTAAAACATTTGGGAATGGTGTCTTGATCAAGCTCACCTAAAATTAATATATTTCTCTTTGAAAGATGATCCGAATTTTTTTCCTTCTCTTTCCTTTTTTAGCTTTGCCTCCCCGATTGAAAGAGATGAGAAGCCAGGAGTCTGCCGCGGGCTCTAAACTAGTGCTTCGATGTGAGACCAGCTCCGAATACTCCTCTCTCAAATTCAAATGGTTCAAGAATGGGAATGAATTAAACCGCAAGAACAAGCCACAAAACATCAAGATACAAAAAAAGCCAGGGTAAGTGTAATGCATCTAATAGCAGAGGCAGTGTCTAGCCATAGAATGATAGAAAATATAAAAATGATCTACAGCCCCAAAACGTGAATTCACTTACCAAAAAAGCTGTGATCTATAATAAATGAAAAGGTTGTTCATTATATGATGACCAGAAATTGTCTTATTATATAGGGAACAGTTTGAAGTTTCTGATTCTTGCAGCTTCTGGATGAGGAAAGAAAAGAGTGGATGGGGGGAGAACTGGAGACGTGGAGGGAGAAGCTTTGGTGATAACTGCTGTAATTGGAATATGTTACATCTTAAAATTGGCTTTCTTTAAAATAAGACAAATGCTCTTGAGAGCACCAGTGCCTTCCACAATCAACATCCCAACTTAACGAAGCCCAGGAAATGCCCAGATTTATGGGAAGAGAATGCAGCCACTTGAATTTGAACTATTTTCACGTAAGAGGCTAATACATCCAGCGATACCCAATAAGATGTTTTTTAACTGGCGATTTGTGAAACTACATCACCACTGTAGCACATTAAAACATCAGGTGATCTTGGCTCTCAAGAATCTTTTTTTTTTTTTTAAGATTTTTATTTTATTTTATTTATTTATTTGAGAGAGAGAAAATGAGAGAGAACACATGAGA